CTGGCAGTTTCATTTCAACGCTGTTTTGACTTGTTTCAAGCTCAAAACAGCAACATCAAAATGAAACAGAGAGCTTCAAAACAGCCTCGAAACAAAACGAGGCGAGTTGAAACATTTCAAAATTTTCAAAATGTTTCGAAGCTCTAGCTAGGCTTGCCTGCAGGGAAACAGAAACTAAAGTAAAGAGGAGGGAGGAAGACATGAGGATAGCATGGGGAGAGTGTAGATACTTGGACCCTGGCATGGGGGGAGAAAAAGGGGAATGGTGGGGATCAGAGAGAGCCTCTTGTGAGAGTGTTTGGAATTCACACAGTATTTTGCGAATGGAGGGAAATAAACCTGCTGCTGCCACAGAGAGGAATATGGGACAGGGTTCTGATGGGGGGGGTGGGGACCAGGGATCTCAGCCCCTGACATGAAGGAGAAAGGGTGGAGTAGTTAGAGTACAAGGATCCCTGGGGTATGCAGTCCCCTGGCCTGTAGAAGCCACAGAAAGGGCACCCTTTGGTGACATACTCCTTTGAACCAAGCCTTTTTTTTTTTTCTTTCACAGTTCCATCTGTATTTTTGTCAGCACTCTCTCTCTGCTTTGATTTCAGAGAGCTCTCTTCTGTCGATGCATATGAAAGCTCCTATTTTAAAATTAATGGGAGACATGACTGTGCCTCTCTCAATGAATGGACCCTGGAGACTCTTTTCATTAGTCCTAACTCTAACAAATGGGTAGGAGGCATGCTACTGGGAACATGCTCAGTAGGGAAAGGTTCACCCCACAGTCTGCACTCCATTACTTTTTGTGGCTTCAGAATATTCTTATTTATGTGCATAATCTGAATGGTAGATGAACGGCAAGCAGGAGCGGTGGTAATTGCGTTGAAAGTGCAAGGTTTTCACAGATTGTGTGGAACTTTGAATTTGGTAGTGCTGACCTTGAAATAGTACAGGAGTGCTTCACTTATTAAGTCCATGAGGCAGCATAACTGATACTTTTGTTTCACAATGAATTGATTTCTTTCTTCCTTTTTTTAAGGAAATCTAGCCTGCTGTCCATTAATAATACATGAAGAGTAACATTTACATTGGGAGGTAGAAGGCATTGATGGTTCTCCTTCCTTAGCCTTTGTTACCATAGAATAGACATCTCTCCTTTATTATTTGCTTTTCTTCTCTGCTTTTAGAATTTATAGTGTGCAAGACTTTCAAGCATGGGTGCCTATAGCATTTGTACCGAGAGAGTTTTTAGCAAGTGCACACATGCACAGGATGGACCCAAGACGCTATGTAAACGGCAGGGTCAAGACCTGCCTTTCGGTTCCTGCTTGTCATGTTCAGAGAAAACAGTTGAGCAAGCACAGTGCAATTTCTACATGCCTAAATTTCTTTTGTCCTTTTCAGGCTTTGGTTTAGTTTCCTAACATGAATTTTCCCCACTTTAAATAACCATTGTGATTGCTCTGTCATGACCTTTGTAAAATGTAGGAAATATTAAGGATGTAGTAGGTGCAGAACTGTGCGTAGTTTTAGAGGGAAAGAAAATGGCCAAAAGCTCAGGTTTCAATTCCAGCATAGCTGTACAAAACAGATTCAAAGGCTTTTGTAATAAGGAGGACGATGCCTTCTCCTGGAGCAAAACTCTCATGGCATGCCTGCGTGAAAAGCCTATAGCTGGCTTCCAAGTCAGAGCTGCCGTCTACCCTAGCAACCTAGAAAGAAATCCCTCCTCTGAACTCTGATTCCAGAGGGTTGGAGCTGGGGCACTATTTGGGGACTGTATAATGAGCTAATGAGTCTTGTGATCCTAAATAAGGGATTCTCAAAGAACTGAGGTAGGTGTTTACTTATTAGCTGTCATCTAACTGTCTGCTGATCCATCTTTAGCTCTAAAATTCAAATAAAATTTTAAAAGGGCTCTGTTTGTTCTAATATCTCCAGGATTTTTGTTATCTTGCTGTTAGCCTTCTTGCTCATCTAAATTTGCTTTTGCTGGGCTGTTGCAACACTTGAAAAATATGTGACTTCACACTGTTGACTGCATAGAATGATTGTATCCATGTGTAGTGTTGTTAGTAATGCTGTTAAAGGCTTTGTTTTTCCTTCTTAAAATAGCCCTTTGGTTTAAAGTTCAAGATGAACAGAGCAGTGTTTTAATGCCATGAGTTCTCTTAATGTTTTTGCTGCAGACTTGAGACCTCTCTTATTAGGAAACAGGCATCTAAAATGCGAGAATTGCATGTCTGTTCCCCGGTACAAACTGCAGGAATGAGTTTTTATTGCAGTGCTGGGATACAAAATTTATGTAAGCCAGTTTCTTTCTCAATCTCTTATTCTGTAGGAGTTATATATTTATCTTGTCTCTGACATTTTCTATACAGGTTTAACCCAAAGGCAGACGATATAAAAGTACATACTGCATCAATGTGTGGGAAAAGATAGTTACTACAGACAAAGGGAATAGACATTGACAGCACAAGGAAGATGAGTATGTTGAAACCAAGTGGACTGAAGGCTCCTACCAAGATCAGCAAGCCTGGAAGTACATTACTAAAGGCGTCTGCAGCTGCTGTGCCTGGTAATGATAATCAGCATTTCAATATATTTTTTAATCATGTTCTCAAAAAGTAATCTGAAGGTTGTGATTGTATGTAAATCTACTTCTGCTCATAAGTCTTATCTAACTAAATTGGTATGTGCGATATGCAGTAAAATTTGGATTTACAAATAGAACATAATTTACTTTGAAAGAAGAGATGCTTTAAAAAGAGCTGTAATGTTCAAAGCACTGTACAGTTTAGGAAAAAGCATTTTGATCTCAATATTTCCAGATGTAAAAACTGTGAGCTATCATTTGTAAGCAACAAATGAAGTCTAGTGGGAAGGTAGATAACATGCTTACATGCATATTATCAGTTGTACGTTACTTGGAAGCATACATTTGCCAGTACAGCAAACTGTTCTAAGCAGTTACTGAAATAACTGTAAGCTTTTTGAACGCAGCGGACAGAATGTTCTGAAAGATCAAAAATGTATCGGCAGTACCACGACACTAAATGTACGAACTAGGACACAAAGCAGAAAGGCTTTAAGCCAAAGGTGTGGTCGTTATAAGTAGCAGTTTCTGCCTGACTGTCTTGTCAGGAAACCCCACTAAACTGAGCAGATGTTTATTCTGCCCCTGGGTTGGGCTGGTATTGTGAGATTAGGTATAAAGGAGTTTGTTGTTAATTCCTTAAATTAGTTAAGAAATCGTGCACCATGATTTACAGTATATTCAATAGTAAGAAAATACCAGGTTGCTTTCTCTTTTTAGAATGATACTTTACTAAATGTTCATCAAGTGGAAACTGTGTAATATTGGGCTTTAACTATGTTTCTTCACTGATAATATTTCCTTTTTATGTTTGACTCCAGCTCCTGAAGAAAAAGCAGCACCTAGTGAAAAGTCATCCAGCATACCCGCTGCAGAGGCACACGAAGAGTTTGTGGATGACTTCAGGGTTGGGGAGCGTGTTTGGGTCAATGGAAACAAACCTGGCTTTATTCAGTTTCTTGGTGAAACACAATTTGCTCCAGGACAGTGGGCAGGAATCGTTTTAGATGAACCAATTGGTAAAAATGATGGTTCTGTGGCTGGAGTTCGGTATTTCCAATGTGAACCCTTAAGAGGAATATTTACAAGGCCATCTAAGCTGACCAGAAAAGTGGTGGCAGAAGATGAAGCCAATGGTACACAGACAGCTCATGCATCTAGAGCTACTTCTCCAACCTCTACATCAGCCGCTAGTGTGGTATCTTCTTCTGCACCAGCTCCTCCTACAGGAATTCCCCATAAAACTTCTCTACCTGCTGCGAAGGAACATTTGACTCCTTCCCCAGTGAGCAATCTTTCAAAAACTGCAAGTGAATCTATATCAAACCTCTCTGAAGCTGGATCTGTGAAGAAAGGGGAAAGAGAACTAAAAATCGGAGATCGAGTTTTGGTAAGGGTCTTCCTACATTATCTAGTTTCTACCTAATGCAGTATATCTTTTGATGATCTAAAAATCATATAGACTGCAATTTAAACTATAACACTCTTCAGAGGTGAGATTTCTGCTCTGATCAGTTATGTTGGTTGGGAAATAAGAATAATACAGTACATAGCTGCACAGGTTGGTGTCTGTGATTTTTTTTTT